TGTCTCTTTGGACTATATGTATACAAGGTCCTGCCTAATCCAGGGAGTACAGCAGAGAGATAAATAAGTGGATTGTGCTTTAAGCAATGTCTGTCATCTTTATCCCTAGGATTCTGACTACCACTACACTAAGAATGTTTAGTACTCTAAATGATTAAGTTTTTATTTTAAAAACTGGTGGAATTTTTCACTCTGTTTCTCATTTGTGCATGACTGCTCCCCAGTTTGATATTCAGCTTGCCCTGCATGCACAGATCCCCCCCATCATCGCTGAAGACAGACACTGCTCTCAGTGCCACACAGAAAATCTGCTCTGTTTTCTCTGTATGTGAAGATCCCTAGAGCATGCAGAAAAAGCAGAGGAAAGACATACCGTAGGGAGCGCAGAGCAGGACTGTATCCCATGAAATCTGAAGAATGGATCTTGCCAGAGAGTACAAGCATGTGTCAGATTTGCACCCTAAAGCACTTGTTTTTCTAAGCAGCACACTGATTTCTCCGTGTTGGGTTGAGCATCCGTTTACTATAAAACTAACTACGTTATTCTCATCTTTAAAAAGGAGCCGCTCATTGCTGAATCTCTCTCTGTATACATCAGTACACAAATTAACAGATTTTTTTGCATCTTAGATTCATTTTAGAGAGTTTTAAGAAATGCTAGCAAAGAAAATCTTGACTCCTGCAAACAATGCATCGTTTATTACACCAGTTCGGGAGATTCTTTCCTATTATTCCATAAGCCTATTTCAACAATAGCATAGTAATAAGAATTTGTAATGTATGATTAGTGTCTTCACTCTTAAAATTTTATACAGCTGTCTGCAGGCTATGTGATCTAAAATATTTCATGCAAAAAAAAGTGAAGAAAATGAAAAATCAATTCTTTTAAAAGCAGACAGGAGCTTGCGGCTTTTTCTTTATTTGTAGTTAATGTTCACACAGATAAAAACTATCCGAGCTTTAAATGGTAGTACAAAACTATGCACCTTAATTTGTGGAATGAAAGTCTGTAGCAAATACCAGATTCGTTAATAAAAGAAGCCCCTCTTAATCTGTCTGCCTCAGTGGCTTTACTGCTGTTGGCTTAATGATAGCCTCTTCTACAGTTTACGTATCATGAAGTAGAAGCACAATATAAGGTGCAGAAGCACTAACCTCTTTTATATTTATCAACTAAATATCTCAAAGTTTATAAGGTCAGTCTCCTGTATTTCAGTGTCCTCTAGCAGAATTCTCACCACACTCCTCCATTAAAAACAAACCAACCAAACCCACGCTTCTCTCCCTTTGACACTCAATGCAGTCATGCAATCCTGCACTGTTTGTGCTGTTGCTTACATTCGCAAGCCATGTTCAGGTGGCATTTTTAGGTACTCAGTACTTCTGCTTCCTGTACCATAATAGAAAATGGAGCCCAGTCTAGAGTTAATTTTTTGTCCACACTGAAGAACAGTCATGTCGCAGTGATAGGTAAAAGACTTTAAAAGAGGAAAAAAGGAGCAGAGGAATACTGTGTCCCATTGCAAGTTCAGGTGCGTTATCACTATTTGAATTTCAATTTAGCAGAATTAACAAGATCATTCTTCATACTACTGAAAATGCTACAAAACTTTTAGTGAAAGTAGTTCAGGGTCTCATGTCTGTCCTAATCGCGGTGTCTGTGTCCCCACATGCAGTCCCAGGACACTGGTTCAGCACTAGCTCTCCATTGCACCCTACAGGATCTGTCTCTTCTCTAAACATCTTCCTTCCTTTTTACTGACTTGTATCGTGCAAATTAGTCTTTGAGATTTGAAAATATTTTCCCGGGAAGTGGTATGGATTTAGGACACCAAGTGATTGCTTTGTTGTTTTTAAAATGCACACAAAAATGGGTTAATGGAAGCGGTCTAAAAATATCCTGACGGATTTTTTTTTTTCCTTCTTTCTTTTCCTTTCATCCTGAACGTTGATAGGCCTTGTTTTCAGCCAAAAGCCTCCTGTTTGCTATCCCCCACCGTGTCATCTAAATGCATGCAGTTTAAGGCAGTGCTACTTCAGGTGTCCCTGCCCCGTTCTCTCAGGAAGAACAGATACAAGTCTTCTCTCCGCCTTTTTTCTAGCAGCATCACAGAGATAAGAACAGCACACATACAGAGTATTAGTCAGAGACACCTCTTTTCTTTGTCATACTATCACCTGGGATAAAAGTAATGGCAAAGGAAGGCCCTTAAATATTTGCCACCTGGGCTGCTTCGAATGCATCTTAAGGGTTGTTGAGAGCATGAGAAGGATAGGCATTGCCAGGGAAAGGCAAGAGATGGAAGAGATTAAAAATGAAGAGGATGAAAAGGGCATGGAACAAAGAGGAGGTGGCCCACGCTTATTGTACCCACTCATCCATATAACATGACAAAAGGAAGACAGTAAGACAAATATTCAGCCCATTTATCTTCTGTAATTGCCTCTGTATCCATGCTGTTCTGCAGGAAACATGCACTGTTCTTTTGCACTTACACACGCATACACAGCTCTGGACTATTTATAGAAACGGCACAGGCTGTAGTGAAAGCCAGTCAGATTTTCTGAAGTCCTTTTAGGAGGCTTATTTCTGTACCCGCATCATTTCAAAGATGGAAATCGCTAGTGAGTGTAACTGAACATCTATTCTTAGGCCATCTCTATCTGTACAAGAGAACACAATCACCAAAATAAATATAGAAGCTTACCGATATTTTTAAGGTGAAGAAAAACAAAAGGTATACTATAACCGTGTTAGCCATAGCAGATAGCTGTACTAAAAAAATCCCCAAACAAACCAACAAACCATTAGATTTTTCAGCATTACTTGAAAGTGACTATCTTCATGAGTTTTGTTGTCATGAAAGTATTTATTTTCCTCATATTTCTGTGTTTGTTTGCTTTAAGAAAAAAAGATAAAGCCCATTTAATATTTTAAGAAGCGGCACAGTTGTAAAGAGGCTCCTGTGTTCTTGCAAAATAGAGGGTGGGCATAGTACGTCTTTAAGAAAGATTAATTCAGTAGAGGAACATACTGACACATGATTTGCTTAGGATTGTGGAAACTGCATTTACTTTAATGATAAAAGACAACTTTGAAGTGTTGCTCCAAAACCAATGCAGGAAAAAACCCAAAGAAAGTAAGTAGACAACTTTATAACCACTATCAAGATTCTCTGTTAGGGACAAGAGATCTCAGTAGTACAAATACGTTACAAGATCACGCACTTCAACTCAGATCTTTGAGTGCACAGTTTAAACACAGAAGCTGCAAAAATAAACTGCAAATCATTTTGAAATAGTAGTATCTATATAAGAAATACTAAAACTGAAAAATACCTGAAAATTAGTGTCAATCATATATTAATAAAGATGGGACATTTGTTTAATTTATTTGCTTTAAAGACCAGTGAGCATCCATACCTTAAACACCAGTAATGGATACCAGATGCTTTCTTCTGAAGGATGAATTTTCAATATAGGGTGAGTCAGCAATTATACTTTGTATTGGGATAATGACAGGAAGTATATTTTTCAGTATATTAGTATTGATGAAAATACATAATTATTGCAAAGATGGAAACTGCAAAACTACCTAAGTCTTAACCTACTATCTCATAATCCATCCCTAAAAATCAAATAAGCTTCTACGAACATAACGCTTGTCTGCAAGACCCATATGGTAATTTATAACACCTATAGTTGTGAACTCGACTTACAAGGGAAAAAGCAGTTGCTGGTGAGGAAAGTCTCATACAGAATGTGTTTTAATATGAGTAGAGGGAAGAAAGGGCAGCAGAAACATAGATAATAAAACACAAATGCTAGGGGGACACTTTCGGGGCAGACTGTCATTCCTTTTGTCTTTCCCCAAGATAATATATCTCTGCCAGCATTACAGTAGCATCTAGATGAGTTCAGTCAAGATCACTGTAGTTCACAGTCAGCGCATGCTCACTCTGGAACTCTCTAAAGGGCTGAAAATCTCACAGCAACACAGGGAAAAGCACACAGAGAAAACGCTGTTTCAGCACAAGCCCCTGAAATGCCTAAGCAATGAGAGGGGAAAATTGGCAAGATAAAATGAATTTCTTGAATGCGACGATAAAATTCCCGCTGAAATCTTTTTTCTCCAGCAGTGGTGAGGCCATGCCTCTCTGACTTAGTATTAACAAGTAGATTAAGAACATGGGAAAGGCTGTACCAGGTCAAATCAAAGGCCCATCTAGCCTGGTATCTTCTTTCACGGAGACAGAAAAGCAGAGGTCTCAGAAAGAGTATAAAAGTAGAGCAAATTATATTTGCCCCAAATATTATACCAGACTTCCAACAACTTACGGCTGAAGGGGTTTCTGAAACAGAATTTTCTACCTTAACGAAGCGTCAGGAAGTATGTGCATTAAAAAAAAAAAAAACAAACCAAAAAACCTTTTCATTTACTTTGAACGTGCCACCTGCTAACTTTGTCTGTTACCCCGCTAGTTCTTGTACTGGAAGAGACCGCAAGTAGTTGCTCTCTGCTTACCATCTCAATGACACTCGTGATTTTATAATTTGTGTCCTGTCTGCTCTCAGCCAGCTTCTGTCCAGGGCAAAGTGTCCTAGCCTACTTAGGTAGTTCTCCAAGGTATGTGTCCAGAATTGTAGAGATACTCAAGATGGAAGCAAATGAAAGATTTGAAGAGTGGCATAATTATATGCTCTCTTTCATTCTTTTTCCTTCCTGGTAATCCCTAACAATTTGAGGAGGCAAAGCATTTTGGGAAAATTGGGACATCAAGCCTGCTTTAAAACTGTTGATGAATAGTGGAATATGGAATCTTTAATACATGCTTTTCAGACTCACACTTCTTGGGTGCAACAAAAGTGCAAACATAAGGGAAAGGCCAAAAGCAAAATCATCTAGACAGCTTCTTGGGAGGAGGGAAAGGGGAGGGGGAAGAGCACAAGATCTTTAACATGTCCGATATTCAGTCAGTTCAAATCTAGAAAACACCAGCATGTACCAGCACTGGAGACTAACACAACGCTGCAGCAAACCAGAATGCTTGCAACGGTGTACACCTGACAGTGTCCACATCCTAGCTGTTGTCACTGCTCAGAGTAGGTCTCCCTATTGTTAGAACTTGTATCTGCTCATTTTCTGTTGTCACATCGTTTGCAGAAATCACTGACACTGTGGCAGCAGCACAACCACCAGTCTAGGAAG